TTGCAAACATGAGCCTACATGGAACGATTATAGGAAGAAATAACATTTATTTTCAACACAAGTATAAGATAAGATAAATGGTTCTTGGAGAATGATTGTAACTCTAACCTCCTGATAGTTCCCAAGAGGGATCACAATGGGAACTCCTGATACTAAAGCCGGCTCACACAACTTTATCGCTCTATGCAGATCTTTCAAATGACCCCATTTGGGTTGCCTTAATAGTCCTAGACCAAAAGAGGAAATTACCCTTAAGTTTACTGAAGAACATATAATCTTTAAAATTTTATGTTTTTTTGAGCCATCTACATCTCCCTATCAGGAAAAGGAATGACATTTTCTCACGAGTCATGACAAAAATGATTGTAGAGAAGCTATTAACATGACTGTTGCAATCATTTTATTGTCGAATTTTCATTTTCATTTTGAGTCCCCCATCAACTGATAATATTCAGCTTCTCTAATCAATTTGATCACCATCATAACCACTAACAACATCACAATTATGGAGGGATATAGCTATTACTTAAAAAAAAAAATGTCAGCATGAGCAATTTTACTCTATGATAAACCCAATTCAATCAATCACATACCTGACATTAATTTTATATAAAAGTAGAATACCTACAATTGGTTCAGTTCCAGTGCACATCCAAATGCCAAATCAATCAAAGAAAAACTAAGAACGATGGATCAATACAGGGGGACATTTAAGCTTTAAAAAAACAGATTCGAGTCATTTTAAGCTTAAAAAAAATAATACCCAGAAAAAAATGGGGACATTTATAGCACCAAATCCAAAAAATATTTCCAAAAGATGCCATTTTGGATCAAAGCAGTAGCAACTAGGCAAGTCAAGAGACGGAAACAACAAAATAAGAAGAGGGAGAGGAAGATTTGGGTACCGATTGAGTCTCGTAGAGCATGAATTTCTACATAAAGCGGTGAGGCGCAAGTGGAAGTGAAAGCAGTGGCGTAGCAGCAGCAGAAGAGGAGGGGGTGGGTTCGTCCTCATTCCCCAACTCCATTGTAGGGCGTTGGACGGTGTTGGTGGGTTAAAAAAAAATCCCTTAATTAGGGCAAAGAAAATAGGGCAAATCTAGGTGAATCGGTGCTCTAGTTGCCGGCGACCGCGAGGAGGAGCGGCGGAGGCACGGCTGGTGGAGCGGTGGTGAAAGAGAGAGGGGAGAAGAGCAGCGAAGAGGCAGAGGAAGAATGAGAGGGAGAGGTAGAGAGAAACGCTGAAGAAAGAGAGTGACAGAGGCGCTGGTTTGTTGTCTGGAACCAAATATACTAGTGGGTGGCACACACGACGACGATACGTGTGCAATTTAAATAAGTAGCAATAAAAAATAATAATAATGAAATTAATATTATAATGTGTACTTAATTTAAGTGGTATGAGTCCTCGTACTTAAACCCATGATCATGGGTTCAAGCCTTGCCCATCTCTTTGTTTAACTTTTTTTTAAAAAATAAAAAATACTGCCACATGGCATGAGGAGAGTAAAGTTTCAGGACACCATAAGAGGTGTTCACTTTATAATAGTATAGATATATTAAACCATTACCGACAAAATTTTTAGTCGCCAATTCCTTTATAAAATCCCTCCAAAATTTAAAATGCTTGGCTCCAAAAATTTTTGGTGTTTGGCGACTAAAATAGTTTTTTTTGGTCGCTGAACATAAGGTTTTGGCCACCAAACTTTTAGTCGACAAAGACAAATAATAATTTTTTATTTTTCCCTTCGACGACGAAACAATTTAGTAGCCAAAAATTCAATATATGGCAACTAAAATTTTTTTTTGTTGCTGAAACTAAGTTTTTGGCAACCAAAGTTTGGTCGCCAAAAATAAAAAAATAATTTTTTACTTTTCATTCGGCAACTAAATGCTTTTAGTAGCCAAAACTCAATATATGGCAACTAAATTTTTTTTTTGTCGCCAATTCTGGAATTTTTAGCGACTAAATTTTTTTTAGTCTCCAATAATCAATATACGCCGACTAAAAAAAATTAGTAGCTAAATATTTTACTTTTGCCAACTAAAAAAATTATTAGTCACCAATTCCCCAATTTTTGGCGACTAATTTTTTTTAGTAGCCAATTTTAGTCACCAAATGTGTATTTTGTTGTAGTGATTGGAACAGCTGCAAAAGTGGTGGTCTCTGGCCGTGACCTTCTCAGCAACGGACACCAGCCGAATCTCACGGCCTTACCCCAACTAAGCGGACCCCCTTTCTTTTTCCCCGTCAAACCATCTGTTAAACAAAAACCATCGCTTCTCTTCTACAATTGAGATCCACGTGTGTGTTTATTTGAGTGAGTTAACTCACTGAGTTGGCTAAATAATGTATAAAATATTAAATTTATATTCTACCCTTTAAAATAAGGCATGTGACATGCATGGGAGCTTCTATTTGCACACACGCATTCCCCTCTTTACACATCTTTTTCAATAAATAATTGGTTCGGAAGTAGAATTTCAAAAATAAACAATTGGTTCGGAAGCAGCATTCCGAAAATAAATAACTTGTTCGGAAGTAGAGTTCCGAATTTTTTTCATTTTTTCGACATTCAACTTCTGAATGTGTTTATTTAATGTCCATAATAGTAATTTCACTTGAAAATAAAATTATAATAAAAATAATTTTTATTAAGTGTGTGTAAATAGGGGAATGGAGATGTGCAAATAGAAGCTCCCGACATGCACATGGCCAATTTCTGTGAAAAGACTTAACTACCATTGTCTGGGACAAAAAGAGACAAAATATAAAATTCAATATTAAAATCGAACGATTTGAAAATATAGGAACTAAAATAACATAAAAGTGTACCATATGCATCATTTTAAGGGTGAACATCATAACATTTTCCTTTTCTCTATGCTAATTGTTGGTATGGTGTGTAGGATTGGCTGATGCCTATTGAAATTGTGATAATTGATTTAGATCCCCTTTGGGTCATTTTGTGGACTGCTAATCAATGTGTAGTTAGGAGCTAATCATCTGCATTTGCATCCGCATATATGGAAACTTATGATATTTTGGTTACATTGTGACAGTTTTGTTACTTTGGCTTTTGTTAGTGTGTGGCATTCTCCCAAAAAGTTATATATATATATATATATTTTAAACTTTTAGTGATTTTTTTTCTTTCTAAATTATGTCCATTTTTTTTTAAAACTTTTTAGGTTTGTCTTGTGTAGACGAATCTATAAAGTAAAAAATAAATAAATAAATAAATCCTAAGGACAAAAAAAGTTACCAAAAAAAAAAATCAATTGTTTTTGATTTTTTTTTATAATCCCTTTCGGACTTTTTTTTCAAACTTTTCAATTTTTTTGATCTTTTCTAATTTCTCTAGTCGAGTAGAATTCGAGAGTGTAACACTTTAATTTTTAAAAAAAAATCATTAAAGATGAAAAAAATCAACAAAAAGTTATTAAAAAAGCCAACCTCAAACACTGGTAAATTGGTTAAAACTCAATAGACACAAATAGACAGAGAATAAAACACACACACACACACAAATCTTTGGCAAGGATTAATCATTAACAAATTAAACAAAAAGTAGTGCAAGTTGAGAAACATACTTGTATATTACTGATGTTACGTACTTCTCCTAAATCATTAAAAGCTTTGACACAAGTAAAAATTAATAACTTCTCCTAAATCATTAAAAGCTTTGACACAAGTAAAGATTACTACAATGTGAAGAAAAACATGAATAGTTGAACTTATATGTGAATTTGATTGTTGCACAATAGCTCTCTGTTTTGATAAGGTTTTTCTTGGTGATACCATTACTATATGTATATCATTGTTGAAGCATCTTGCTCAATTCTCAAAATTAAAACTAGAATCTATGGCCTCAATTGGCAAAAATCATAGAATTCACCAATAAAAGGAGAATACTTACATATGCAAAACACAGTCTATAACATATTTTGGAATATGATAGTTCACAAATAATTTATTTAAGGAAAGACTTACATTAGAATATTTTACAAAAGACACAAAATCATCAAACAACATCAACATATATACTAGAACTATAGAATTATTCAAACTTATTTCTTTCCAACAACTCAAGAAAATCCATAACATGATCTCAATGCTGCTTCCTCTGAGAATCCTTTCTCCAGCCGAATATAAGACCCTTTAATGACAGCAAAGCATATAACAAGCATATTAGTGGATGTTAACATGGTTTCTCTGAAATAATGCAACAAATGACTTTTGAAAAATTATTTGAGAAATGTAAAACAGCAAACATGCATTTGTTTCAATGTTTTTAAGCATGTGACAAAGAATTTTGGCTCTTTTGGTAAAGAAATTAGGTGGAAATTAATCTGTACACTTTACTGTATGATCTTGAATGTAAGACATGTTTTGATGATAATCTAGAAATATCACTACCTCCACTTCAAAATATGAATGGTTATTCTTCAAGATATTCCAAAAATCATTAACATGATTAGCATTGTTATGTTAATGATGGTAAGGAAATGAGAAAAATTCAAAAGATTCATGCAAGAAAAATCATGGGGTATGAAGATGGAAATTTGATGTACATGTCGAAATTATCACAAGATACAGAGGTAATGTATGTACATGATATGAGAGAGAGAGAGAGAGACGAACCAATTGGGAGATGAATTCATCTTCCAAATTTTTTTTCGTTGAATTTCCTCCTTAGCTGAGCGAACTTGATTGCTATGATTACTAATATCCAATTGTAGTTGTTTTCGATGAACTGGAAGTATGCATACCTCCAAGACTTCTTGAAATTCAAAGTGCCACAGACCATCAAAAACCCAACCGAGAAACCAGGTCCAATGCCAGCGTAGAACCACAAAAAATCAGTTTCATCTGCAACTTTACTCTCATCACCATGTTTGTGATCACCATCCAATGATTTATCATCGAGGCAGCTGTTTAGTGGTGCACCACAAAGGCCATCACTGTTGCTTATATAAATGGAAGGATCGTCGAGAGTTCAAAGTTGATTTCCCGTTGGTATTCGCCCTGATAAATTATTGAATGACATGTTCAAATGACCTAGGTAGCTTAAACTAGACAGAGTTAGAGGAATGGGGCCAGAAAGTTTGTTTCGAGACAAATCAAGAGATTCCATTTGTGTCAAATTGCCAATATTATTAGGGATCCTTCCTATTAGATGATTTCCAGATAAATTCAAGTTGAGCAATCCAGAAAGATCCATTAACTCGTTTGGAATCTCTCCAACAATGCCATTGTTCGAAAGGTCTATGGAGACGAGAAATTTGAGTGTCTTGGTGTATTCCAGTTCTCTTCCTTTCATTGAATCAAAAATGTTCTCTTCATAATTTCCTTCAATAGAATAATCGTTAACTGGATAAGAAAAGTACCCAGGATGTAGGTCAACCATGGCAGTGAAGTTGCCAAAACAACGAGGGATATTTCCCGTTATGTTATTTTGTGCCAAGTTCAACAATTACAAATTTTGGAGACAACAGAGTTGTGGAGGAATATCACCATAGAAATTATTTGATTGAAGATTGAGAAATGTAAGATTAGTTAGGTTATATCCAATCCATGGAGGGATATTATCAGTGAACACATTTTCACTTAGATCAATGGTGAAAAGATGTGTCAGATTCTGTAAGGACAAAGGAAGCTTCCCGAAAAACTTATTGTTACGCAAGTGCAAGGAATTGAGATATTGTAGGGAACCCAAAGAACTTGGAATTTCACCATATAGACTATTATTCGTCAAATCTAGCACTGACAACTGATTCAACTACCCCAAGCAAGGAGGAATTTTTCCTAATAACTGATTGTTTGAGAAATCAATAAGAGTTATATCCTTTGCCTTGCACAAAGACACTGGAATGACACCAGTCAAATGGTTATTTGAGAGAACAAGATACATGAATCTCATCGTCGCATTATCATCACTCACAGTAATAGGTCCTGAAAGCAAGTTGTTGAAGAGATCTAAGAAATAAAAATCTGAAGGAAGGGTTAGTGGGCCCTCAAATCTGTTAGAACTCAATAGTAACTCTTTATCACCAGCACCATTACCATATCTATATTTACATTTTTGAGATATTGGCACCTTTCCTTTGATCTGGTTGTTGGAAAGATCCAAGTATATAGTGCCACAATAAATACTCTCAAACCAATCAGGAATGACATCTGAGATGCTTGCATTAGACATGTATAAATGTGTAACATTTTTTTGTGTTTCGAGCCATTGAGGAAATTGGGGTCCTACTGTGATGGATGACAATTGTATGACTTGGAGTTGAAAGGGAGGAATCCATTGCGAGGTCACATTCAAAACTAATGAATTTGAATGCAAGTACAATTCATTTAAACTCTTGAGTTTGGCAAAGTGAAGTTCAAATACGGTGCCAACAAATGAATTGTTTGACAAATCTAGATATTCTAGTTTTGAAAGTTGTCCAAGACTAATTGGAATGCTCCCATTCAATTGATTGTCTCCAGTATATAACACTCTCAAATATGATAGTCTTCCGAGTGATGATGGCAGCGGACCATAAAATGAATTCATGCTCAAGTCTAGGTAATTCAAATGATTTAAATCAAGTAAGGAAGGACTTATCTGACCACGCAATTGGTTCATTTGGAAATTTGGATCATGGTCGTCGAAAATTGGATAATGCAGATCAAGCTTCACAACATGGCCTGTTTTATCGCTACAACCAACACCCTTCCACGTGCAACAGTCCTTTCCGACCCACGAGGATAAACGGTTTGCTTCATCTGTGAGATTTCCTTTGAATTTCATAAGAGCTTCTCTCTCACTCGCTATGCAACTCAGATTTGAATTTGTATTACTACAAATGAACTCAAGTCTTTCAATGAAAAAAAGAGCAAATAACATCACAAGAACACTAGGGGTTGAGCCCATAGCTTCTGAGTGTGGAATGTAATTTTGATGCCAGTGTTAAAAGATTAGAGTTTCATAAACTGTATAAGAAGACTTGATTGTTTTGAAAAGTCTCAAATCATGAGCACCTAGTTATAATTATTATTATTATTATAATATAATGTATATAATTAAAAATTATTAAAATATGTAAATAAGAATATATTTATGTCCAAGTAAACTCATCAATGGACTGCCATATTCCGTCTTCTTGGGGGTAGAAACAAGGCCATTTCGTCTTCTTGGGGGTAGAAACTCTTGTCTCTAGTCTTTGGTGTATCAGATTCATATTGGACAAAGACCAATGATAGAATTATCAAATACTCAGATAAAGCGTGAGATGGTGATACCAAAAAAATACATTTATGCCTCCGTTGGAGAAGTGGGTTGACTTTTTGATTTTTTGATTTTTTTAGTTATTTTAACTTGGACTAAAAAGCTTAGTTTGGGAATAGCTTTTTGACTTTTTGACTTTTTTGACTTTTTTTGTAAGAGAAGAGTGTAATGATTATGGGTTGGATGTGATGTTTTGTTTGTTGTGGCTAAAATAGTCTATTTTGTCTTTTGTGTCTAAAATAATCCCAAACTTCCTTACCAAACGGAGCCATATCAATTACATATTGTACAAGTTTGTACAAGTGTTTTTTGCAAGTAAAATTTAATGGTGGTAGTCATCATTTGAAAAGAGTTAAAATAACTTAGTTTTTTAGTTTTTTAGCTATTTGAGCCTTGTTTAATTTTAGTTTTTAATTTTTTTGATTTTTGTAAAAGAAAAAATATAATAATTATGGTTTGAATGCAATATTTTATCTTATTAACTTATGTAGCTAATTTTGTCTTTTATGTTTTTTTAACCCAAAATCTATTGCCAAACATAACAAATTAATCTAAAATCGTGTAAAAAGTATATAGTTATTTTTAAAAGAGACAGTTAGAGGGAGTCAAACGAGAATGAGATAAAATATTACATATAAAGGGCTTCTATTTTAGTGGGGTTTTAGGAGGTCTTGACCTGTTCAGTTGGTGGGAATGTTAAAATATGGGTATAATATTTTGTATATTTTGTAGAATCATTATGAGTTTTTATAGTGTTAATACAAATTATTATAATTATGTTAGGAATGGATGCCCCATAAAAGAAGTTTTAGTTACAAATTATTATGTTTATATAACAAACTAATATGATAATGTTATGAATATTAAAATATTACATACTATTATGGTGAAAAAGTTACTTAACTATTGTGATTTTGTTTTTAATCATAGTAGGGTAGTTTTGAAAAGGCATACTATATGCATTTATAAGAGTGTATTATAGTTATGCTCGTTTTATTTTCTATAAAAAAACAAAAAACCCTCAAAGTATTTTTATCTTTCATTTATTAGTATATGATAATTTCAAAATTTTGGGTACGTATTATAATTCATTACCATTCATTTACTAGATGAATTGTGTGATATTATTCCTCATTTACATTTTTCTAGTGATAAATTATTAAAATTTAAGTTCATGAAATATAATTTTGTAATTACTTTTAGCTCTCTTTTAATAGTGATTTGTACATTTTAGTCGTCTGAATTAAATTTGATCTAACTTCTTAGACTTATTTAATACTTTACTTTTGACTCCTCTAATAGTGTAATCTTGACACTACCCCTATTTATTAAAAAGTGCAAATAACATCACAAGAGCACTAGAGGTTGTGCCCATAGCTTGAGTGCGGAATGTAATTTGATGCTAGTGTTGAAAGATTAGTTCTATTTGGTAGAGCTTTTTTAACTTTAATTTCACTCATTGGTTTGAGTGTGGTGTTTGGTTACAATTTTTAAAATTGATTTCACACTCACTTTTGCAAATACATCTACTCTGTCACCCTTCGGATGTTCCCCCAGATGTCTGGTCGGTCGTCTGGCCAGTTTACCAGAAAAATGTTCTTTTTTTTTATATTTTAAATAAAAAATATTTTCAAAATTTTTAATTTTTTTTTATGTGCTTTGAATAGAATTTTGGATTGTGTATTTGGTTATGAGTTGAAGGTTTTTTAATCAAATATCATATATCACATCAAAAATTTCAAACTCAATTCAAAACTATTTTCAAAACTCGTAACTAAATAAAATTTTCACATTCAAATCATAATTCTAAAACACACAAACTCAAAATATAATTGTATTCTCAAATCATAATTTTAAAATTCTACCAAACACTACCTTAATTTTTTGGTGGAGACCACAACTTGGGTTAGTGGGAGGTAAGCTTTGTGGATTTTGTAGTTCTTGTGATTTTTTATTGGTATGTTATATTATGTGAGATGATATTACTGTTACATTTTATTTTTTCCTGCAAGAGATGGAAAGGCAAAAGTCTTGAGCTAATAATTTAAATTGCAAAATCTAGGGTAAATTAAAATATACTCTCAAAATTTGTTTAAAATATTAATTATTCTATATAGTTTTGGAAATTACATCTTATCATTTTAAATTTATAATCGCATAATAAATTAATCGTTTCATTAATTAGTTATTAAGTTAATTAATAGTTTTTAATGATGTGTTAAAAATATATTTTAATTAATAATTCTGATAATTTTATTATTGTATAGGAGTATAGTTAAGATTTTTTTTTATTTTATTTTATGAACTCTATTAAAAGATAAATTTTGACAAAAAGTATTTATAATTTTCACAATCATAGACGATAAATTGCGGAGAACTTTTCTCAAACCTGCATGAAATGGAAAACCATTTTCTGGAATAACATTTACTAGCCTATTATAGTTGATTAAAAATTAATTTTTAGGTTTTTGGTCTTTGATGGATAAGAAATGTGAGCGGTGATGTGATCTAAAATGAGTTAAAAATTAAAAGTTATCTTTTTATTTGCTTCCCAAAAGGCCATCAGGGTTCGTTTGGGAAGTGAGTTGGCTTTTTGCCTCCGTTTGGGAAGTTGATTAACTTTTTAGTTTTTTGACTTTTTTGGCTATTTTAGCCTGAGCTAAAAAGCTTGGTTTGGGAAGGGCTTTTTGGCTTTTTTGACTTTTTTTGTGAGAGAAGAGTGTAATGATTATGGGTTGGATGTGATATTTTGTTTGTTGTGGCTAAAATAGCCTATTTTGTCTTTTGTGGCTATTTTAGCCCAACCCAACTTGCCAAACACAGGCAAGAGGTTGTTTGGGAAGAACATTGGGGCTAAAATAGCCTTATAAAACAAAATAGGCTATTTTAGCAAAATATGACAAAATGTCACATCTAATTCATAACTATTTTATTTTTTTTTCTCACAAAAGTCAAAAAAGTCAAAAACTTATCTCAAATAAGACTTTTTAACACCAAATTAAAATAGTCAAATAATTAAAAAGTCAACTCACATTCAAAACGAAAGAAGACTAGATGGTTTTGAAAAGTCTCGTGTCACCAGCACCTAGTTCTTATTATTATATAATGTAT